CATCTTAAAGTTGCTGAAGTTGAGAGACACTGCTGTAGAGACTGAACCTGGTACAGTCTGCATATAGAGCAGGACTCTGCCACTAAACATGATCTAATCATCTTGGGTCTCCACCTCCAGACATACTTCAATTTTGTTTAAAGTAGTGGAGTGTAGCTTAGTGGAGTGGAGTGGAGCAGGGTGAAGTGTAATTTAGTGGAGTGGAGTTCACTTTAGTGTAATTTAGTCTAGTAATTTAGTGGAGTGTGGTTCAGTTTAGTTCAGGGTACTTTAGTGTAGTCTAGTCTAGTCTAGCCTCATCTAGTGTAGCCTGTTTTCCCCACTGAGACTCTCAAAAGCTTCCAAGGAGTAGGTCAGACCTTTGCCTGCATCTCTGGTCAGTTGATTGATGGTACTGAAAGTTGCTGAGTTTGTTAATGTCCTTCTTAAAAATGTGGTGGCCATAACTACAGGTAGACCTTGCTTAATGACTGCCCCGTTTAGCAGTCTATTCAAAGTTACGAGGGCACTGAAAAAGTAACTTTACGACTGGTCCTCGCACTTACGACAGTCACAGTGTCCCCACAGTCACACGATCGCTATTTGTGTACTTCACAGCCTGCTTCCAACAAGCAGGCAGTAAAATTACAAGTCGCAGTTACATGATGTCTTGCTTAACAACCACAGGTGATTCGGTTAACAATTGCAGCAGAAGTGAGGTTGTAAGCCCATTGTGGTCACATGATGTTTTGCTTAGCAACTGCATCGCTTAGTGATGGAATTGCCAGTCCCAATTGCAGTTGTTAAGCGAGGACTACCTGTATGTGCAATTTGAGGAGTAGAGAGGAGTGATAACATCTCTTGAGCTTACATGATTCTTCTCTTGGGACATCTTACCATTGCATCTGCTTTTTTTGCTGCTGCATCACACTCCTGGTTCATGTTCAGCTTGTCATCCTCTGTTCCTCAGATCCTTTTAATATGTGCTGCTACCAAGGATGGTCTCTCTCCTGTCCCCACCCCACACAGAGATAGATTTATCAGTTACATCTCGCTTGGCCCCCCAGTTTCACACGTCCCAAACGCTGGCTCCCTCTCTTTTGTAATTGGGCCTTCTTTTCTAGATGAGAATCGGCTTCCTCAGGCTACAAGCCCTCTACCGTTCCCGCAAACTCCACCGGCAGTACCACATGGCTCGCCAGCGCATCATCGAGTTCCAGGCAAGGTGCCGGGGGTTCCTGGTGCGCCGCGCCTTTCGCCATCGCCTCTGGGCAGTCTTGACCATCCAGGCATATGGAAGAGGAATGATTGCCCGCCGACTCTATAAGCGCCTGAAGGGGGAGGTAAGAGTTGCTTGCAGAACCCCTAAAGGTCCCACAAGGACTGGGGTGGGAACGGTAGCAGGCAACCACGCGTACCTCTGTTCTTCATGGGATGAAAGCGTGCTGCACTGGGAATGGATTTACCAATCCAAACTGTCATCTGAAGAAGGGGTATCAAAGAACAGGTCTTCTGGCTTTTTTTTCCTTTCCTTTTTCTTTCCCCCATTTTTATTTTATTATTTTATTCTTCTCCCCTCCCCTCTTTTTTTCTTGTAGTTTGTTAATGTAACCTTACAATAAAGTAGAATTAGTCCATCTGGTCATACTTCCTGTCTGGATCACCTCGTTAGGCTGACATCAGTCTTGCAAGACTGAAAGGACATCTCTCCCCTGTAGCCTTTGCAGCCCAAGAAACTAGGGAGGGTCCCTTCTGAGATGCTTGCCATGCCCCCATTCCTGCTGCGGGCTCAGCTGCCTCTTATCCAACCAGGGAACCCCTGGGGGCAGCTCTTTCTTCCCAAGGTCATTCCCACTTTTCAAACTTTGCAACTTTAAGATGTGTGAACTTCAACTCCCAGAGTTCTCCAGCCAACATGCTGGCTGGAGAATTCTGGGAGTTGAAGTCCACACATCTTAACATTGCTGAGGTTGAGAAACACTGACCTAGGTTCTTGGGAAGAACTTGATGTGAATGAAAGCCAACACCAGGTAAAGAATTGGCAACTGTGATTTCACACTGCTGTGTATAATAATACACTTTGTACATTTCCAATGTCCATCTAGTTTCCCCCTAACTTTGAACCGTTGAACTGTTTCATCCACCTCCCAGCCAACATGAGAGGCTGGTTTGTAAAATAAATACATGGATCCCCTAGCGCTAATGTTGCATTTCTTTTTGTAGTATCACCGACGTCTGGAGGCAGAAAAACTACGTCTGCTGGAAGAGGAGCGGCTGAGGAAGGAAATGAGTGCAAAGAAGGCCAAGGAGGAAGCAGAAAAAAAACATCAAGTAGGTCCATAGAATCATAGGTTGGAAGGGATCTTGGAGGTCTATTAGTCCAACCCCCTGCCCAGGGTAGGAATCCTCAGGCCATCCCAGACAAATGGATGTCCAACCTTTGATGACCTCCAGTGATGGAGCATCCATGACTCCAGGAGGGAGACTGTTCCACTGCTTTGTGGCTCTCACAGTCAGGAAATTCCTCCTTAGTTCAAGTTTGGAGCCCTCTTCCTGTCTTACCCTCAGGTGCTAGGGAGAATAAATCTACCCCCTATTCCCTGTGACACCCCTAGCTTGACAACCTCTATCTCCATTGGCTTTGCTTTTCAGGTTGACACCATCTTTTTAAGCCCAATTCACATATAGTTGGAGGGATGTCACATTGGGGTAGGAATTCTGGGGTCTGGGGTCCCAACATAGTTGGAGGGTTAGTGAGTAGGATTGCAGTTTGCAGCTGAGAAAAGCAGTTTCATTTTTTCAGCTGGCATGCAGGAAGAAGCTTTTCTCTAAAATCCAATACAGGTTGTCCTCGCTGGGCGACCACAATGGGGACCGGCCACTCGGTTGTTCAGCAAAGTGATTGCTAAGTGAAACCGTGACCATGCTTACGATCTTCAGCTTTCCTTTGCTTTACAGACCTGTGAAGGTCGTAAAGGTGAGGATTGGTTGCACAGTTCCTTTTTCATCACAGTTATGACAGTAAATGGTCACTAAATGAGGCTAAACGAAGACGACCTAAGCGCGTTTTGGCTCTTGCAGAATCTGAACTTCCTTAAACGTCCCAGCTCTTATTTTCCAGGTGCCCCATATGCAGTTTGTATTTGTCCTGGGAGGGAAAATTTTTATCTTTAAACCTTCCAAAATTCAAAAGAAAACTTCCCCTGTAAGAGGTTTTCCCTTAATTAGCCCTCAGCATCAACCCACAAGCAACAGGTTGCATAAGACCCCCAGCCCCAGTTCCAGCCCACCACCAAAACTTTGCCTCAAGCAAAAGAATTCCAGCAGTGCAATTCTCTTCCTGGGAAACAATCATTAAAATTGGAGCTTGTCCCCTACCGTTTGGATGATATGTACTTGTGACCTTTGGTAGCATATATCACGCCCCTGATATATGGCATGAAGCTAGGTTGTTTGCTTTCACACACATCACGCATCCTTCCTGGCTTCTGCTGCTTTAATACCACTGGAAGCTTCTCATTCATCTTGACCAAGACAGACATTATCTGGGATATATTCCATGAAAAGAGTAAAGTGCTAGGATGTGTGGAAACAAACTGGGATAATCTAGGCACGGGCCACCTTTTGCTAAGAAGGTTGGACGTGGTTGGACCTGATTGATGCTTAGAGGGGAGACCACTAAGAAATCCCACGCTTGTTGGCTCAGCTGAGAAGTTGGGGCTGTACCGGTGCAGCCACAACAAAGGCTTATCTTCTAAGTCCCACCAGAGGACATTGCTTCACAGCTGGGACCTGAAGTCAGCCCACGTGGCCAGATCTTACTGCCCTTCTGATGAGACATGGTTGGCCTGGTCTTGCAAGCTTCAACAAGAAGCTCTTCATCTTCTTTGACACCTTTGCACCCCTTTGATCTTCCCTTTCCTCACTGTCATTCTTTCTAGTTGCGCCTGGCCCAGCTGGCTCGGGAAGATGCTGAAAGAGAAATCAAAGAAAAAGAGGAAGCTCGGCAGAAGAAGGAGCTGCTGCAGAAAATGGAGAAGGCTCGGAACGAGCCTGTGAATGACTCGGACATGGTGGACAAAATGTTTGGATTCCTGGGAACGACGGCATCTTTGCCGGGGCAGGAAGGACAAGCACCCGACGGCTTTGAGGTAAGCAAGTCTGGGAGATTGTGGGGAGGTTGGGAAAGTACCTGGAGAAATGCTAGACATAAACAACCAACAGATGTGGAAGGAGTTGGCCAGTAGCTTATTGCGCAAACAGCTGCTCAGTCTAGGTTGCAGAAAGTCCAGGAAGAAAAGTTTCAAAACTTTCAAAGAAAATGAATGCCCCAATTCATTTATTTATTCGATTTAGAGGCCACCCAACTCCACAAGGTTCTGGGTGGCTTATATTAAAAACAAGAATATAATAAAACCACGAGAACAATGATCATGACAACAAAGATCATGCACCTCTAGAAGAAAGAAGATACCTAACTGAATAAAATCCTACTGGAACTTGACACTGTGCTACTCCAAGATCTAGGGGAACAGCCAATTTTTCAATGTCTTTTTGAACATCATTGAGGGAGCCATACAGATCTCTGGGGGGACGCTGTTCCAGAGGGCAGGGACTAATAAAAGAGCGCTGAAGGTTCATCTCACAGTTTCCAAGGTCTTGTGTTAAAAGCATGTTATTGGGGTCTGTTTGATTCTTGCTTTCTTGATTGTGCCCTGCTGTGGACTTGTCAGCAAGTCGAAAAGTGGTGCCATATTTAACGTGGTGATTGGGCACCTAGTGAGTTCCAAATGCTTTTGACCAAATATACCAAATATACTCAACTTAACTACTCTTTTAGCCTGTTGAGGAAGTGGAGGGAGGCTTTCTCCAACCTGGATGTCCTCCAGAATTCAAAATTATCAGCAGTGGTCATGCCGGCTCAGCAGTCTTGGAGGTTGTAGGCTGCACATCTGGAAAATATCCAGATAGGGGAGGCTCCATTAGAGAAACACCATGCCTGATTCTGGCTGTAAAAGAAGAAATAACATAATAGGTACAGATTCCAGCCAAGATTGAGTTAGATACCCATGGGGCCTGCTGATCAGGGCCCTTCAAAAGGGGGCTGCATTGTGCTGTTTGCAAACCTCTGCCCCATAAATTAGACAGTCCACATGGCCTTTTTGGTGCAGGTCTTCATTACATCCAGATGATTCCTACTCCCGTAGTGTTTGATAAAACCCAAAATAATCTTTGTGAGACATTGCAAGCATTAAAAGGGTTTAGTTTGGTTGATGCCAAAATGGTCTGTTTTCTAAGAGTGGTGTTTTATAAAAGGACTGCTTAAGAATACTACCACGTTGGTTTTGTTGTGACTGATGGCAAGCCCATTGTCTCTGAAATGAAAGCCTTGCATCACCTTCTCAGACCCACTTCAGATGAAGACAGGGTGGCCATGTCATCTGCATACAGCAAACCACAAACAGGTCTAGTGGCCAACGTAGGACAGCAGAACTCTGATCTTGGCAGGGTTTACGCTGAAGAATTTGTCAATGTTAAAAAAGAATAGGTGCTAAATGCCGCCTTATTTCACCCCTTTCTGAATGGATATAGAGGGGGAAAGTAGGGGGTGGCCTTCAGCGCCACATCAAACCTGCATTGTGTTGTCCTCAAGAAGTTTCATGATTAAAGTAAGGAGGCTCCAATCAATGGAAGAGATGGTCATCTTTTTCCCACAGCCTGTTCCTGGGAATTGAAATGCTGCTTCAGATTTTTTGAAAGCAAATATAAAATTCTCCATGATGACAGTGGGGTGTTTCTCTCCTAGATATTGAAGGATTGTGTGTGATCTAGAGTTGACCTGCTTTCCCGAAAGTTGGGCTTGTTCTGCCAAAATCAGACCCAGTGCATTCAGTCCTCCAATATCTAAGAGGGATGACTGGCAAAAGCTTGCTTACAATAAATCAGCAGATTGACTGGGAATACATTTACAAGTTTTTTTTGTTCCCTCTTTTAATCTAGCAGGAGAGGGATAGAACAGCAATAGGTTTCGGAGAAAGGCAAATCTCTAAAAGGATGTCGCACCACAAGTGTGTGTTCTTTATTGTTCCAGAATCAGTTCCCAGAGAGGTGGTGGTGGGCTCCCTAGATGTGTTTGTGAACTAACAGCCATCCATGGAGGATATTTTAATTTGAATTCCTGGCCTGAGCAAGGAGTTGGCCTTAACTGACCCTTCCAACTTGAGATTCTATGCTTCTGTGCAAAACTTTGAGCTGAGTCAAATCTCTGGTGGGTTTTCTGCAGGATCTTGAAAGAGCTGGAAAGGTGCTGGAAGAAGATGACCTAGATATGGTGCTACCTTTGCCCGAGGAAGAAGAAGAGGACTTATCTGAATATAAATTTGCAAAATTTGCTGCCACGTACTTCCAGGGCACAACCACACACACGTATATACGCCGACCTCTCAAACAACCTCTGTTGTACCACGAGGATGAAGGAGACCAGTTGGTGAGTCTCCTTGAACAGCTTGGGAGAGGATGAACGGGCAGGTTGTGGAGACCAGTCTCTGGCTTTTTATTTGGCTCTTGTGAGCCTAGCTAACCAGCAGAGAACAGTATAATCAAGGGCTCTGGCATTTGAGGAGCTCCTGATACGTTTGAGGGAAGAAGATAGGTAGGAGACCCAGTGTCCGTCTCAATGCCATAAAAGGTGGCCATTTTCCCTCAGTTCCCTCAGCAATGTTACCCTTCTCTCAAGTGTTTTCCTCAATAAATCAATGTACAAGTGTAGTGTTTTTGACTCATTTGATAAACTGGGTTCTCTTTATCTAGTTTTAGGACTTGTATGGGGAACAGATCATGATTTAGGTCATATTTATGCAGAAATGTTGAAATTTCAAAAGGGATCCCCAACTTTTAAGCACCACTGTAAGGAAAACGTTTCTGACAGGAGGATGTCTATAACAGTGGCATGGTCTCCCTACACAAGTTGTGGGTTCTCCATCTCTAGAAGTTTTTAAGAAGAGGCTGGACAGCTACCTCTGGTGGAGGATCTGTGTGGTCCCTTCCAACACCCCAATTCTGTTATGTCCTTTCCCACAAAACCAGGCAGCCCTCGCGGTATGGATTACCATCCTTCGCTTCATGGGGGACCTCCCTGAACCCAAATATCACACCGCAATGAGCGATGGCAGCGAGAAGATCCCAGTCATGACCAAAATTTATGAGACCCTGGGGAAGAAGACCTACAAGAAGGAACTCCAGGCCCTTCAAAGCGAAGGAGAGGTAAGGAGGAATTTTAGGATTTTTAACTTCCTCCCAAAGTGTCTCTACTAGACTTGGGGGGTGTGTGTGAAAAAATTGAGGAACCCCCCAGGAGCAAAAGGTGGATTTTCCCTGGCTGTGACTGTACTCACAACTGATAAATTGGGGGATAAATTGGGGGATAAATTGGGGGATTTATACTCCATGTTGATAGTAACAAGATGACACACTATGACGTCTACTAGTTCCAGGGCTGGATCATGCCAACGGATGACTTAAATACAACTCAACAATGGTGCCCCTCAGCCCTTCCATTGTTTAACTTACAAGACATTCAGGCTCAGCAAGTGTTGGAGGTGAAATAAAAAATTAAAATTTCAGTTTTCTTCCAGGCCAGACACAACTATATTATATATAACTTTTTTTAAAAAAAATTGTATTTATTTGACAGTAAATAACAGTAAGCCATATAAGCAAATTATTTAAGTCACTAGAGCCACAGGACAAAATGCAAAACGTTGAACCCTTTTTAATGCACTGTTTAATAAAAGTGTTATAAGGGGAAGAATGCAGATACAAAAATGCACTGAGAGTTATTTTTAATCAACCTCTCAAAGGGTAGAAGGCAAAATACAGTCTGGTATTATCTCTGTTGAAATGATGTGATCTCGAGCGCATATTTTTCCATTCTGAAAATCCTTCCCACCAAACTGTGAGTCCTCCCCCATGCCAAAGAAAAAGGTTTTTTTTTTAAACAATGCAGATTAAAGTCAAACATGGCAGAGAAGGACAATTGCAAAAAAAACTGACTGAAGTTGAGTGTGGCGGGGCAAGAGGGAAGGGCATGGTTACTAGGGGAAAAATCTCTGTGGTACCCCTCTTCCCTTGATGCCCGAAGTGCCAGCTTATTTGGCTTAATGGTATCCGGAAGCTACAGCTTGTGCAAAACACAGCGGTGCAGGCAGTTTTGAATGCCCCCAGGGTGGCACCTATAACACCTGGTTGCCAGTTTGCTTCCAGGTCCAATTCAAGGTGTTGGTTATCACCTTTAAAACCCTCCATGCCACAGGACCAGGTTATCTGAGGAGCCGTCTCACCCCCATTATATCCGCCTGCCCCACTCGGTCTGGCAGAAGGGGCATGTTGCGGACCCTGCCAGTCAAGGAATTTCAGCTGGTGGGGTCTAGCAACAGGGCCTTTTCTGACGTGGCCCCTGCCCTGAGGAACAGCTGAGGTGTGGGCTGCCCCCACTCTCCTGGACTTCCAGATGGCCTGGGGGCCCAATGGGGGCCCGTATTGTTGGAATTGGCTGGTGGGCTAATCAGTACTGCTCCCCCCCATCATCTTGAATTGTATATAGGCTTTTTATATAGTTACTAGTTATTTTAATATGGATATTTATATTTTTATTGTTTCTGATTTTAATTGTGAGCCTCCCAGAGTCGCCCTCTGGGGAAGATGGGTGGCATATACATTTAATAAATAAAATAAAATAAATAAATAAATGTTCAGGGCTGGCCCGTTCTCAGCTGGATGGCCCACATCCCGACTCAGCCCTGGGATCAACCTAAGCTGTGGTTCTTCTTGACCCTGAGACATTTCTTTTCCAGAGTGCGCATCTAGATGGCCCTAAGAAGAGCAGCGTGCGACAGAAACTAGTCTCCCTGACCCTCAAGAAAAAATCAAAGTTAACCGAAGAGGTGAGTGACCCTTCTTGGCCACTTGCAAACTCCTGTCACCCATAAGCCACCAGCCAGCCCTCTGACCGCAGCCTGAGAAGAGGAACTTCTAACTATCTCCAAGTTAGCGCTCTACAACTGGGTTGCTAGAACTGTCATTGCAACAAGTTAGGAAAAAAATGGGTAAAAACTTGGGAATGTTTAGAGCAGTGTTTCCCAACCTTGAAGATGTATGGACTTCAACTCCCAGAATTCCCCAGCCAGCATG